AAAAAAAAAAGGACAGAAACTCTACCCCTGAGCAGGATTTATTCAGGAATTTTACTTGTTCATATTTTATTTAATGGGTAAGGAAAGCCCTAGAATCAAAGTCATATACTTTTTTATTATTAATGTCCAAACTTCATATTTTAACTTTTCTTTATGTAAATGTGTAAGAAAATTTCAGATTTTTAAGTGATATATATTTCCTCCCATTGGACTTATTTAATTTCTTCATTTATAAATGTTTAGTTGTAAGTACAGGTAACCAAAACCATCACAGTTAAGTTGATTCGTACTCATGGCCACTGTAATGTAGTGAGCTTATTTTTCAAAATAGCTTCCATAGTCCATTAACTTCCTCCACATGGCTAGATGGGAACACGTAAATAGTCTATATGCACGTGTAGATTGATGAAGGAGAAAATGCAGTGCATGACTTTCAAGGTCAGAGATTGTTGTGCCGGTGTGACTGGGACCTAAACAAGAGCAACAGTAGCAGTGGCAGAGAACCTGTGACCAATAGGAGACAGAGCTCACCAAAGACCATTATCCCAGGAAGCTAGAGTTAGAAGCCTTTGCCTAACCTTGCTGGCAGACTTACTAGTTGGAGAAGATGGCAGGAATGTATGTAATAATTGAAAGGACTAAAAGAGCTTTGTAACACGGACTGTAACAGAGAAATTGACAGGCAAAGGACCTACAAGCACACTTGAAAAGATGTCCTGACTGAAGAATTACATCTTGTTTCCAAACTGGATTATAACCTGAACCTGTTAACATTCCTAATAAACCACATAATCATGAGTACAGTCCTGAATGAGCTCAGTGTGGCTTTTGCAAAGAATTAGTGAGCACAGTAGCGGATCACTGAGAGCTCTGAGAGGGAAAGTCAGTGTTAGAATTGGTAGAAGTAGATGCAGGAGTATGGGCACAATGTCTTAGCTAATAAGAATCAGCTTTGTACTGGAGATGTTGTTGATAGGGACAGTTCTCCCTTATGTAGTTAGTTGGGGGTCAAAGAGTGATGCCCTTATACTTATACTCTTCAAGGTGTTTCTAGCATGGAAAATTCAAATAGTCAACCTTCTGGTTAACAGCCAAATATTTTCCACACTATACTACCTGAGGTCCTGCTAATTTGGGTAAGAAAAAAGGGGTGAAATTAATAACAAAAGTATCTGATCAAAGAATCAGATGTAGAAAGAATCCTTTTACTCCTTACAAAACCTGTTTCCAATCCAGTAATAATTTAACTAAATGTCTATCTGTGTTTCATTGACTATGCAAAGGCATTTGACTGTGTGGATCATAACAAACTGTGGCTGACTGTGAGAGGAATGGGAATACCAGAACACTTGATCGTTCTAATGCGAAACTTATACTTAGACCAGGAGGCAGTGGCCAGAACAGAGCAAGGGAACACTGCATGGTTCAAAATTAGGAAGGGCGTACGCCAGGGATGCATTCTATCTCCATACTTTTTCAACCTATATGCAGAACAGATTATCCAGGAGGCTGGGCTCTATGAGGAGAAA